CGACTGCGTTGTGATCAAAAGCATAGAGCTGTAGGTGTGAGACTGAAACTGATAATCTGTTGTCTGTACAGAATTGTCCAGTCTTGTTAGCTTTCTCCTCAATCTCAGTGACAATCTTATGATGTCTTTGAGCTAAATGTGAAAAATCTTCCCTCTTCCACTTGTTGATAAATATTCCTTGAAAAAGTGTATTTCCATATACATAGCCCAAAGAGAAATGTCAGCAGTTTAGACATACTAATCAGAAGAAGGCTTTGTGTTTTAGTAAAGGTTAATTAAGACGCATTGAATTTTTTTCTTTAAAACATAAAAGTAAAATAATGTAATTAGCTATTTTTCCTGTCTCCTCCCAGAGGGCAGACGTAAATGTTGTACCTAAATGAAGCTATTTATTTAAATCCATCCAGATTTCTTTTGAAGTTTCATACATCTTTCTTCTGCTATATCAGCTTATAGCTACAATAATTTAATAAGTTTTTCCTAGGATGAAATTGGATGCCCTTTATCGATCTTACACTGAGGGGGCATTCAATTACTTAATCTAAAGTGGTATTTCTGGGTCTCTTGATTACAATTTTGTTATAAATGGCTTGCTAATGATGCTTGGGGTACATAGGTTAATAGGGGGCATCCTAGCCAGGGCTGGGTAATTGAGTGCTTTCTATTTTGGGAACAGTTATCTGATCTCTCACAGGGGTGCCGGGTTCCCACAATTACAGTCTGCATCTATAGGGCACAGTGTTGAGCCTGGGCTGGGAAGCAATCTCACTGAAACCTAAACCTGAGTGCTCTGGTTTAATACCTGAATGGGAGTGCCAGGAGTCCTGTCTAATCCGAGTCCACTGGCACCAAGGTGTAGACATACCAGACAGCTGAAGTGCAAGGGACGTGCATTGCTTACTTTTTAAGGAAGAACAACCTGAGTGTTAGGTTTCTGAAGGACTGTTCTGGGGACGATATGTGGCATAAGAAAAAGGCCAATTCAGGAACAGAGCTGCAATCCTTTTTCCTTTCAGTGCAGTCACATTGATTTGATTTTTCTTTACTGAGTTGTGTTAGTTAATAGTTATATGTATTGTAAAGATCCTTTGGAAAGAATATGTAGCGTGCATCCCTTTTTGCACTTGGACAAATCCCAGCTCTGACTCCAGCTCTTCAAGGCCCTTCAGAGTGGTCCCTGTCCCCCACCTGCCCCACAGCCCAGGGGTCTGCCCTCCTGGGTCCCCATGGGCTTTGATCCCCAGCTTCTCTCCTTTAGGGGGGTCTTTACTTCCCTTGATCCCCATGTAGCTGGCTTCCTTCTTGTCATTCAGATATCCCCTCCTAAACCAGGTCTTCCCTGGCCGTCCTGTCTGCTGGGGCTCCCCTTTCTCCAAGGCAGCTGTTCTCACCAGGGGTAGAGGTCAGGGATGCTGCTAAACATCCCACAGTGCACAGAACAGCCCTGACAACAAAGAATTATCCAGCCCCCCTTCTAATTGTTTCATTGTATTCTCCCTTTTTATTTTCTTGTTAGCCTTCATTGGTGTCTGTGGTGATGATCTTCTTCGTTTGTGATTTTTTGTTGTCTGTTGCCCTGCAGCCCCCCGTGAGGGTTGGTCTGGAAGCCTTGAAGCTTCAGGCTCTGTACTTAGAAGCCTCCCCAGCCGTGCATTCACCCGGTCATATGACTCTTGTTTTAAATCAGTGTTATCAAGGTGTATTTTACTTACGATACTCTGGCCATATGTTTTGGTAAAACTTGTAACTGTAAGATAGTTTTATATTTTTTCTCAAAGAGGGTCCCCCCTGGTGTTTCCCCACACCAACAAATTCTCTAGCTCTCCAGACACCGGCTGGGCCTCCTACAATTCAATTCGATTCTAACAGTGACTACCCGGAGTTAGCATAGACCCCACAGGTTAAGAGCTCAGTCCCCGAAGACTGCCCCCACTCAGACGCCAGTCACAAGTGTTGGGTCCTCAGGTACCCACACTTCTGTCCAACTTGGCTACAAATTCAGAGGTTCCCACAACGCCCTCCTCTGGTTGGAAAATTGGCTAGAATGATGCGCAGAACTCAAGAAAGCGCCTTACTTACTATGACCAGCTTGTTACAAAGGATGTGGCTCAGGAGCAGCCAACTGGAAGAGATGCCGAGGGCCAGGGAAGGAGGGGGCTCAGAACTTCCGTGCGGGCTCTGGGGGAGCCGCCCTCCCAGCACCTCCACGTGTCCACCAACTAGAAAGCTCTCTGAATCCTGTCTTTTAGGGGTTTTTGTGGAGGTTCCATTACGTAGGTGTGATGGATTAAATCATTGGCCTTTGGTGATTGACTCAATCTGCAGCCCCTCTCTCCTCCCTGGAGGTTGGTAGACTGGGCTGAAAGTTCCAGCCCTCTATTCAAGGCTTGATCTTTCTGGTGACCAGCCCCATCCTGAAGCTACCTGACGGCCCATCAAGAGTCACTTCCTTAGCATAAACTCTGGTGTAGTTGAAAGGAGCTCGTTATGAATAACAAAAGATGCTCTATCACCCCTATCACTCAAGAAATTCCCAGGGTTTTAGAAGCTGTGTGCCAGGAACTGGGGACAAAAACCAAATATTTATTTTTTATATATCACCACCTCCTCTTGTCTTGGCTTCAGGCCCCCACATCTGACTTGCATCTTCAGCTGTGCCCAGTAAACAGTTGGCCTTCAGAAGGGATCTGCTGAGCCAAAGAACAAATGAATGATGGATTATAGGAGATGATAACACTGTATCTGAGTGGTTTTTTAGGGCCCTTAAGGCATCTGGAATTGTCTCCCCAGTTCTTGGCTCCTCGTTTTACGTTTAAAAATCTAGAAGGAGTGAGAGGCCTGGCTGGAGGGTGCAGCCTGCCTGGGGAACAAATGCTTTGGCCACCACGTCCGAGAGCCTCTCTTGAGATTGTCAGCTTCTCTATCTACCCAGGTCCATTTATTTACATTGCTTATAATAAGAAACCTTTGTTCTTGTTTAGGAATATTTTGCTCATTCTGTTGGGTCCAGATTTTGTACATTCTTGTCTTGGAGCTTCAAAGACCCATGTTTTAAAAAAATCTAATTAGACCTTCTGCAGCCAGAGAGACAGAAGAGTGAGAACTCGCTCCCGCTGAGATCCTGGTTGGAGTCTCATTTTAACCCCGTGTGGCCTTGTCTTCACCATGTAAACAGTGTTTTCTTGGCTTAGTGATGGGCTTTCCAAGTAGAGGATCTTGCCCTTTTGTTTCTTTGGTTTGGAAGAATTGTTTGTACCAAGCGATGGGTCAGGGGTGGTTGAGCAACTGGGAGGCAGAGATTTGAGCCTTGAGGTTCCTGACACGTCCCTCCAATGGCTCTCAGGGATGAGGGGGCCGTGGAGCCCAGAATGTTGGCCTGGTTCCTGAGTAGTTTGCTCCCACAACCCCAACTCCTCTGCTCTTCTCAGAACTGCCCTGACCCGGATCTCGGCCTTTACTGACTAGCATTTCTCAAACTGCTTCCTTGGGACTTTAGTGAGAATTCCGTGACCAACTATGTTTTGGAAATTTTGTGTATTATATTTCTCTCCTGTGGATTCACAGGGCTTATTAGCATTTTAAAGGCCCTGAAAAGTCCTGTTGTAAAGAAATCTGTGTAATTTTGTCCATCTTTTCTCCAAGTAATTTAAGCACAGAACACATCAACAACATGCAGAACATTGTGTGGAAGACATTTTAGGAGACACGGCTTGGCTGTTTCTTGGTCAACATATTTTGATAAAACGTGGGCCTTTTGGTCCAAGGGAAGGGAATGCTTCTACTGGTGAGTTCTGATCATTCAGGTTGTCAGCCAATATGGGGAGGCTTTAATGCGGGGTTAGTTAATATACCTTCTCTGGGGACAATAACGATTGCTTGAAGGGTGTGTGTGTGCAGAGTCGGAGGGGAGTCTATCGCCTGTGGGTAATTCTCAGGTTCTAAGGAAAAGTAATGTGATATAGGATCTCCCATCTTTGGTTCCACTTTAGATGTTCTCGGCGTTCACTGACAATTAAAAATCATAATAGTTAAGAGTCATTGATGATGCTAGTATTATTAATGTTATCTATATTTTATGAGATGCTAAATATGTTTAGGCATTTTGCAAACTCTTTACATGCATTAACTGGGTTAGTACTTGTTACAAACCCATAAGGGAGGTGAGGAAACACAGCTAGTTAGCAGTGGTCTACCACTGCTAGGAACTAAGTAAGTCTGCTTTTTTGCTCTTTTTACAACAACTACAAAGAAGTGTCGTTTGGGCAACAATACATTTTATAACCACAAGATTCTATTAACGGATTTTTAAGAATCATGTTTTCCCCACGACGATGAAAGTGAAAAATTATTTCAGGGTCTGAAGTGTTATGTTACTGAGGGGAATACTGCACATTGGATTTAATTGCTTAATAACTTAAAGTCAAATGATTTTTTATATGATACACTCACTTCAATGCTTCTAAATTTTCATTAACTTTTGCTTCCTAAACTGATAATAAAGGTTAGCTCTGGATAAGAGACTATTGGTGCTACTGGGAGAGAAAAAGCATTTCTCTGCCTACTCCCATCCTAACCATCCTCCTTCTTGGATTTTTTGTTGCCTTACAAACACTGATATTTCAATTCATCCTTCAAGTTTGTAGTCACTGACTGTGCTTGAATCTGAAAACGACTGCAAAGTCCTGGGATTGGAGATCCAGTAACTTAGATGTGTCAAGGCAGAGGCATTCGAGGGTATGTGGGTTGTGCAAAATATGAGGTGTTGGATGTGGTGCTGGTGTTGGGGCCATGTTGGTGGCAGAGATTGAACCCTAAAGCCAAGCACTAAGGATCTAAAACCTCTCCCTTAACCCTATAGGACCCTCTATGACCTGCTTGTGACCCAGCAGGCTCGGCTGAAACTTAGAAGTAGAAAAGAGATGTTAACATCTCTCCTTGGAAGATGACCCCTGGGTTATGTTATCACATAATGTAATAAAACTTTTTTCCTTGTTGTTTAGGTAATCTGACATTTTAAAGATTTTGCTCCCCATGAAGAGGAAACATTTCAAGGGAACCCGGGATGTAAAAGAAGAAACCTTCCCGGGCATCTCCATGGATGGCATGCTGGTCCATCCCTCACTGAGAAGACCATGATGTCTTCTAATCTCTTGGGTGTTTCCACGTTCTCCAGCAAGAATTCTTCCTCTTCATTTTGTGCCATGGGAAAAACCTGAAGGACAGGCACCCCTGAACTCTTGGCTTTTTCCACTGTTGCAGTGGCTCTTAGAGAACATGACAATTGGAGATCACTTCCGTTTGCTGTCGTTCAGGGTAGAACCAAAGACTGTGCTTCCTCATTCTCTAGTGCTTTGGCACCCGCTCGTTTTTATATTTATTTCTGTTGCTTGTGCCTTCCAACCGCCTTATATAATCACAAGACGTCCTTAAAGTTTCCAGCGTGACTTGCATGCATCCGGACTCCTCGGGGGCTCGCCCATGGCTCGTTGGGCCAGCAGTCCAAGGGCATTACCATGAGGCACTGCATTAATTGCTGCATACAGTTGTCACCCGACGACTCGCACAAACAGCGGGTCGGCTGCCGAGGAGGCCCGCATCACAGTTGCCAAGAGTGCCCTGCATGCAAAGGAGAAAACAAAATTGTGTTTCGCGTGGACGGTAAGCAGATGAACTTGCTTGCTGTTCTCGAAGTGAGGGCTGACGGGAACGAGAGCTGGGGTGGGTTTTTGCGCTTCAAGAAGGGGAAACGATGTAGTCTCATTTTTGGATTGATAATAATGATCTTGGTGATGGCGTCTTACATCCTTTCTGGGGCCCACCAAGAGCTTCTGATCTCATCGCCTTTCCACTACGGAGCCTTCCCCAGCAATCCCAGCTTGATGGACGGTGAAAACCCGAGTGACATGAAAGAGCATCATCACCAACCCTCTGTAAATAATATTTCATACGTGAAGGACTATCCCAGCATTAAATTAATTATCAACAGCATCACAGCCAGGATAGAGTTCACGACCAGACAGCTCCCAGACGTAGAAGATCTCAAGAAGCAGGAGCCGCATGTGAGTAGCCTTGTGCTAGCCTCTGTTGATTGATTTTAGAAATGGATGCTGCCTTCCTTTCCTGTCACCATCTTTGGGAACACAGGAAGAAAATGACAGAAAAATTTCTCAAGTGTAACAAGGATAATTTGACAGCCTTTTGGATCAGGGCACACTGGAGGAGTGCTGTCTGTTGACGCTGTTTACATCAAGATGGGAATTCACAGGGCTGAATGGCACAGCTGAAATGTCGGAGGACCACCCTTCTCCTAATTCCATCCCTGGACTTCGTGCCTGAAATGTGGTCGTGGCTGTTAAAGTTGCTTTTGTCAATCACCATCATCCTGTTTCTGTCCTTTTCTAATTAGTATTTTTGTCTCTAATGGCCATTTAAATATACAACCAGTAAAAAGATTCCAACTGTTTAACTTAGACTGCCGTGTGTGTGTCTGTGCGCGCGCACGTGCACGTGTGTGTGTGTGTGAAGGATAAGTCATGGTAGAATCGATTTTGATTAAACTTTCATCTTCATTCTCTCCAAATTTTATTTTTATTTTGGCATAAGGAAAACATGATCATTGTCTATTTACCAAGTTTGGCTTTATTAGAGTATTTAATCGTTGTCAAATAATACTTTAGATTTGAGCATCACAATAAGTATTACAGCAGGATCATATTGTGGTTAGAATGTGTTTTTGCTAATTTTTGCCCCCTCGGTGTGTCTCTCCCTTTTTTCCTTTTCGTTGCAGATGTTTTCGGTAATCCCCAGTAAATTTCTCCCAAGTAGTAAGAGCCCCTGTTGGTACGAGGAGTTCACGGGGAGGAACACCACCGACCCCTACCTGACCAACTCCTACGTGCTCTACTCCAAGCGCTTCCGCTCCACCTTTGACGCCCTGCGCAAGGCCTTCTGGGGCCACCTGTCCCACGCCAACGGGAAGCACTTCCGCCTCCGCTGCCTGCCCCACTTCTACATCATCGGGCAGCCCAAGTGCGGCACCACCGACCTCTACGACCGCCTCCGGCTGCACCCCGAGGTGAAGTTCTCGGCCATCAAGGAGCCGCACTGGTGGACTCGGAAGCGGTTTGGTGAGTGACGGGTCTGGTTGCAAGGGGAGGGCCTCAGCGTGCGTGTGTGGTGCCCTTTACTGTGGCCCAGAGCCCTCTCTCATTCATTCACCCTTCCTTTCCTCAGGGTCGGGTGGGAGTGGAGAGAGCCCGATGTGAGCCCGGCGCTGTGCGGGGCTCCATGAGGGAGGCAGCGCAGAGGAGATGGGAAAACACTCGGGGACACAGAGATTAGACAGTTAACTTGTCTGAGGTCCCGCAGGCAAACATCTGACGGGGGCTGGAACCCAGCTCCAATCACCCAGTAAACATTTATTGAGTGCCAGCTGTGTGCAAGGCAAGGGGAAAGGTGCAGAATCGGCAGCTCATCTTGTCCCAGAGAGCTTTGGTCTGTGTGCCAGCCGTGAGTGCTGGGTGCCGGGTGCATGTTTGTCTGGGGCTGTTTACCCCCAGCTCTGTGCCCCCTGGCTGGAGCCCCCACACCAGAAGGAGACGGTAGAAAGAAAGGCTGCTGCTCGGGGTGTGGTCCCACCTTCCTGCTCGCTCAGCCAAGGGCCCTGAGCACGTCACTGAGCTGCTCTCGGCCTTGTTTTCTCTGACCTGCTCCGTCTGCTTCATGGGGTCAAAATGGAAACACACAGAGAGAGTTCTGGTGACCCTGCTGGCAGCACCTTTTTCCCACGGGCTTGACCGTGGACGCTGCCCGTCCCTCCCACGCCCAGCCCCAGCCACCCTGTGGCCCTTGGGTCACTGTTTCCTCTCCTTAACCTTTCCTCTTCTGCCAGGAGACGTTTGGTCACTGGAGCTCGGGGGTGACTAATGCCACAGGCCAGGCGGGCCTCGAGGGCGTTTTCCGAGTAAAGGACGCAGGTTGCTTAGAAGGGATTCTTACAAGTTTTCCTTTGTAGAACCTAAGTTTAGACCAACACTTAATGTGTTTCCTGACAAACGTTTGACCTAATCCTTCTGATGTGCCTCCTGGAGTGAACGATAGAAGTGTAATGGGTCTCTGTGGTTTGGCAGTGGCGGCTGTGGGAGCCAGAGTTTCACGTTTCTGTCATTTGTTGGGTGCTCTTCCTACATGGCACACCATTTTCCCTGATGAAAACCAGGTTCCCACCAGCAGGGAGAAGGACAACACAGGGCATGCCTCTGGAATCTGGTGTCCGTGTCACCTTGAACCTCTTGCTGTTTGGCCCATTGATGTTCTCGGTCCACTTTCCACTTTAACCTTGGTAGCTGTGGTTTGGGAGAGTGTTGTTGGTACATTTGCAGGGGAAATGTACCCACTTTTAAGGTAAGGGGCAAATTTAGACTGCATGTGGCTAACGCTAGAACAACTAGTGAGTTCAACCCAAGCATCTGTGCAACATTAATTTCCCTTGTTGTTTGGGCATACAAACCAGCTGCTTGATCAAATAGGCCGGGAGATAGAACCTCAGATAAAACCTGTCTTTTCTGTACTATAGTGTGTGCATCCCGGATGCCAGTGCTGCCACTTCAGGGTCTCACCTGGTACACATGTTAGCCAGCCCTAAACTCTCCGGCCCTCCAAGCAGACACATTTATAGTTCTTGAACGGGTGTGCTGTCCTCGAAGCTGCCATTGTGCAGCTGAATGGTGGTGTCTTCCACGCCTTGAAGTGCACATGGGCTAAAAGGGGCAGCCGGTTCACAGACGCCCCTCCCACTGTTGCCCCCTTCTGCAGCTGACTGAGGGGAGCCGTGGCTGCTGCCGGTGGGCCCCTGGGCCTCTCCATCCCTCTCTGGTCACTCCCCAGGAGGCCACCACCCCAGCAGTGGCAGCTTTGTCCTCAGTAACGCCTGCTTCTTGGTTCTCATAGGAATCGTCCGCCTGAGAGATGGGCTGAGGGACCGCTACCCTGTGGAAGATTATCTGGACCTGTTTGACCTGGCCGCACACCAGATTCATCAAGGCCTGCAGGCTGGCTCTGCAAAGGAGCAGAGCAAGATGAATAGAATCGTTATTGGTACGGCTTCTGTGTAGCTCCCGAGAGGGCCCCGCTCCTGCCCTGGGCCACACCCCGCTTTGCTCTAGCTGTGGAACAGTTCTGTGATGCCTGCCCTCAGCTGTTGAGCAAGCACGTCCCCCTGGCCGTCACTCTTACCCCTACGTAAAACGTTCGTATTGCTTGTACAATTTCTGTAAAGCAGAAATGTTTAGTAGACTTTCTAGTTCCATGGAGACTCCAGCACAGCTGAAGTGGCTTTTTTAAAAAGTTGCCATTTCTTTGTTTTTATTTAAATTAAGTTCGCCTGCTTGACTTCTTTTCGTGATATACCAATCTAAGTTTGGATGGGGATCATAAATGCAATTAACCGGCTAGTCATCGATGTAACACATGGGGCTTTTGTAATCCTGGGCCACTGGGACCCTGTGAAGATGGAGGCGGCTTCTCCTGAAATAGGTACCCTGACACATCGTTGGTGACTAATTGCTGTTGAAAAAGCCTAACCCTTGTCAACCTAATGCCTTTAGATATTCAAAATGAAGTGGTTTGATTAGTAATCACTTCTTTTTAATTCACAAGAATGTTTTATAAAAAGCATATCTATTTGCTCTTTGTATTGGATTCAGTTTAGGAGAAGGCGTTGATCCACATACACCTTCTGAAAGAGAGAAGCCTAATCACATATTTTACTTAAATTAGTTACCCGAGGCAGCGATCTATTTTTTTATTTTCCTAAATCTATTAGATTTTGATTCTCCAAATTCAATGAATCTATTAGTGACTAAGAGGAGTTGTAATCAACCATTTGAAAGAACATGTCCCTCATGTTCAAGGGGACAGGCTTACATGCCTAACCCCTGATTTATTTCTTCTTTTTTTTTTTTACCTCAAAGAAATCAAGTCCTGGGAGCCAGATGAGATCATATCCCCCTTCCAGTGTGAATTGGCTACTAGCTATTTTCTTGCAGCCTTGGGCCCAAACACCTCAAATCACGAGTCTAATTAATATTTGACTGTGACTCCCACACCGTGTGCCGCTGGGAATATCTCATGTTCTTATGAAAGAGCTAAAAACATGCATCTTAGGGCCAGGAAATGGAGCCTAAGATAATGAATAGAAAAGGAAAGCCTTAGTTTGGTTTCCTGATTTTACTTACTTTTAGATTTAAAAAGGAAAAACAAAGAATACATTTACTGCTCTGACATTTACCTAGAGCGGAGTTTGGTGAGTTTTGTGGAAGCAGAGAGGCAGGTGGAGAACTGGCATCTAGTCCTGCCCACCTGGCTCTGTGCCAAGCGACAAGGCAGTCTTGGTGATCCTGAACTCAGTCTGCACATCTGTAAAATGAGCTTGTGGAACCAGCTCCGTTCCCGGCTCCTCTCAGCCCTGAAATGTGCTTTTGCTCTGCTTTACCTTCCTCCAGTCAGATCCATGGTAGAAGGATAAGGGTCTCTCTTCATCTCAGCCAACGGGTCCAAGAGGGCCTTTCCTCAGTGGTCTGGGCTAACGGCTGGAGTCACTCGGGACTCCAGTGGCTGGGTTCTCTGGGGCTGGGGCTCTAGACATGCTGACAGGTCCCTGCCTCTGCTTTCTTGGCCCCCTGCTCTGCCAGTCAAAGTGCTCACGTGGGGCTCTGACTGTTTATTGAACTGTTGGTCTTCCCCTAGATTGTAAGGTCTGAGAGGGGAGTGGATGGTCCGTCTTGTTTCCTTCATCTATCCCTAAGGCCAAGCACAATGCCATGCACATGTTAGACGCCAAATGAATGCTTTCTGGATGGATGGATGATGGATGAAGGATGATTGAAGGAAGGATGGATGGATTGATGGGTAGATGGACAAGTGCTTCTGTTTTTTAGAATGAGTTCATTTATGAGATTTGACAGAATTTGTGCCAGTTTGGTTTTAGATACTTCCCTTGTCCTAACATTCCCTTATTCATTGTGTATAGAATTTTTAAAGGATTTCTGATTGACTTGTCTTTTCTGTATTCTATGGTATTATCTCTTAATAAAAAAAAGAAAGAAAGAAAGTCCGGCACAGAAATGCTCACCTGGGCATGATTGTGCATTCAACAGAGTAAGTAGGGCCCTGCCACCTCACTGCATTAGTGTGCTGCGCCCATCACTGATCAAAGAGACTTGGTCTTTCGGCTCATATTTTCCCCGAATAAGTGACTTTGAGATGTATTATATACTCCCGTGTAAAATGTCGAGAAATCGATTGTATAATTGATTGATTTGCCTTTTTGTCTAAATCTCTGAAGACTGTCTTAAAAAAAAAAGAAAGAGAATTAGTTCAGTTATCTGAGAAAGAAATGTTGAAGTGTCTGTGTCTTGGCCTTACCCCTGTCCTAGATGTATGTGTAACATTTTCATCCTTCGTTCATGCAGACTGTGATGAAACAGGGGCTAGAACCAACGTCCTGGTCCCCATCAGTACTGAGTGGACACCAGATGTGTGCAGGGCAGTGGGGTGGGTGGGAGTCCAGGACACAGAACCTGAGGCTGAGGTCCTGTGAGCCTTCCCGCAAAACCTTCCTGTCGTTCGGACTAACCCTTGTGATTTCAAGGAAAGACTGGTGCAGACTGCATCTAGGTTCTTAATGAGGATCACCTTCCTCAAGCTATTCCTTTATCCCTGATGCTTTTTGGAGGAGACTATCTAGTACGTTCTCAGTGGGCCCTTAAAATGCCACAGAGCTATGTGTCATGAGCAAAGTTAAATATTATGAAATTGGGAGGCCAGATGCTGAGAGAGCTTTTTTTGCACGTCCTGGAGAGGGGCGCCGGGAGGAAGAGGGATGCTCAGTGTTGTATGGACTGCCTTGATTTCCAGATGGAGGTCCTTTTGTATGGGGTGTCAGTGCAGCAGAGGGTGGTTGCCAGACTCCTCTTCCTGGAGTCCCGTCTGCCAGTGTGGTGGATCAGCTCGCTCACTGACAGCTCTGTAAGGGGAAGGCATCAGAGCCAAGTGTGGCCCCTACCACAGGCCGCTCTGCGTGAGCCCTAACTCAGCTCTGCTCATTTACAGTGTTTTCCGTTTCCAGGGGAGGCCAGTGCCTCCACCATGTGGGATAACAACGCCTGGGCGTTCTTCTATGACAATAGCACTGATGGCGAGCCACCGTTTCTGACCCAGGACTTCATCCACGCCTTCCAGCCAGACGCAAAACTGATTGTCATGCTCAGGGACCCTGTGGAAAGGTGAGTGGTTTAGACTTTTGTTTTGGGCAGGGGGAGAAAAGGCGGTTTTGAAGAACAGTCTTCGCATCACAAGCAAGATTTTGCCTTTTAAATAAACAAGCTTAACTTGCAATGTTACTGCTATTTCTTATGTAAATGTTATCGTTGGGGCAATCTTCACTGTGTCTAAACAAATTGTGGATTGTTTTCTTTGCCATTCTGACCCTGTGGGCCTTCAGCCTCTGACCAGTTTGACCTGGGGACATGGGACTGCTCTTTGGGGTCTGTCAGGGCACAAGAGACCCCCCTGGAATTAGGGGTGTTGAGTTTCTCCGCGGGGTTTAACTCCTAGAATTCTTTGTCTCCTGACTTGATTGATGCTTTTATATTGTGAATTCTAAATGTGCAGGCTCCAGCTTTCCCTGAGAGACCAAAAGGAAGAAAAATGACGGACACAGCCGCTTTGTCGTAAAGAGCAGGGGTGTTGCCCAGCATGGATGGGGCAGAGCTAGCGTGATATTGAACAGTGTGGGGGTGGCTGGGCCAGCGCTGGGCGATGCTTACACCATTGATGGTGTCTGTGTGGGTGACAGAATCTCAGAGCTGCCAGGATCTTAAAGTCATTTAGTCCAGTGGGCCCCCCTGACCAGTACCACCACATCAGAGATACGAGGCCTCCAGTCTGGTCCAGGACCCTTGGGTGGGAGTTTCCCACTCAGGTTGGCCAGTCCAGCTCAGGACAGCTCTTTGAGAGCATTCTTCCTGTTTTGAGACCAAGTCTGTCCTTTGGGACCGTCCACGCTTTGCACCTGTTTCTTCCCCATGGAGCTCCGCAGACCAAGTCTATCCCTTCTGAAATGGGAGAGCCTACTAGATATTGAAGGCAGCAGCCACGGCCTTCTGTGTCTTATTTTCCTCTGGGCTAACTGCCTCTTGTTATGGGTTGAATTAAGACCCCCAAAAAGATATGTTGAAGTTCTAATACCCCCGCCCTACATGTGAATGTGACCTTGTTTGGAAATAGGGTCTTTGCAGATGGACTCAGGTTAAGATGAGGTCATATTGGAGTAGGGTGGGCCCTAATCCAATGGCTGGTGTCCTTATGAGAAGAGGAAGTTTGGACACAGAGACACGCAGACACAGGGAGAACACCATGTGCTGATGGAGGCAGAGGCTGGAGTGATGCTGCCAAAAACCAGGCAACAACGCCTGGGATGGCCAGCGACCGCCAGCGGCTGGGAGAGGCAGGGGACAGGTCCTCCCTCAGGACCCCCAGTGGGAACCGACCCTGATGACACCTGGATTCAGGTGTCTAGCTCTCAGAACTGCGAGAGAGTAAATTCCGGTTGTCATATGCCCCCAGTTTGTGGTGATTCGTTACAGCAGCCCTAGGACCCTCATACACCCCGATTTCTTCCTGGGCTGGCGTGCATTCCTGGCCCCCTTGCCAGTGATAACAATAAGACATGGTTATTGTGGAAATTTTGGAAAATACATTAGAAAACTTTTTAAAGAATACCTATAATTTCCACCCAGATAACTATTATTTATATTTTGGTGTATTTTCTTCCAGACTGGTTATCTATGCAGATAAGTGTAGTGCGCGCGCACGCGCGCGTACACAGCCGTGTGAGTACATCTTGCTTCTTACACTTTGCATTGTGCCCCCAGAAGGACATGCCTTATAGTCCTGCCCAGAATGTGTCTCCACGTCCCTCTTGGAGGTTCTCAGAATGGCCCCTGCTGCTCTAACTGTGACCTGGTTGGAGGAGGACTGGATGCTCCTCGCTGCCTCTCCACCCCTGGCAGCACCATCTGGCATGTCTATATGCCTCAGATCGTTTTATTCTGCCCTTTGTACATCCTCCGTGCTCAGGGGTCTGTCCACTCAGGTGCTGGGAAGCCCCTGACCTCGGAGCAGCTCGCCATGTCCTACCTGCTCCTTCCTACCCTTCGGAGGCAGGAACTTGGCCCTCCTGCTCATGGAGTGGGCTGGTCCCCTGCGTTCGAGAACAGTTGACACAAATCAGTGGTTCTCTTGTGTAGACATGATTACATAACCGCTAGCCTTGAAAGGAAAGGCCTGGTGACTAAATGACCCCTTGCCGCCCACTCAGGTGTTTTCACAGCTGCTCTGCCTCCCTCCCCTGGCTTCCCCCAGCTGCAGTTCACAGAGTCGGAACTCTCTCAGGGGTGTGCTTTCTGCTCACTGTCTGTCTTCCTGTCGCATCGCCCTAGTTCCTCATTCTGAGGAAAGTCACATGCACCTCAACTTCAGAGGGCCAAGAGTGTCAAAACTGCTGCCTTTTGTCACCCTGGGCACAGAGAGCCGGGGACAGTCTGTATCTGGCTCCCTGTGTGCCAGCCTTGTTCTAGGCCGTGGGGGAGCAGGAGCTCATGGTTGGTCCGGGCGACAGGCATGGCTGTGGTTGTTCTGGTCTGCAGATTCAGCAACAGCGGAGAGGGAGGGTGAGATGTGGCACAGAAGAGGGAGAGGGCTCCTAGTGGGGGCGTCCAGAAAGGCTGTTCTGGAGGAGCTGAGGCTGGGCTGGGTTTTGAAGGATGAGTAAAAGTTGGCCAAGTAAACAAAGAGGGAAGGTAGTCAAGGGGCAGAAGCATTCTGAGCAGGGAGAACGGAGAGCACAAAGGTAAAGACTGTGTGTTCTCTTGTTGGAGAGCAGAGCCAGCTTCCCTGGCTGTGACCCCTTCTCCCTGCAGTTCTGATTTCACCTCTGAGGACGTGAGCTCCAGAAAGGGGAGCCTTTGAACAGGGAGGATCGTCGTGCTGTCCAGGTTCAGACAGCTGAGCCAGAAGAAGGACCTGCCCAACTCACCTCTCAGACTCAGCCCGAAGTGCGCCTTCCTTAAGAAGACCCCCAGGCCACAAGATGGCCAGCCCGAGGAGTCATCATGTTTTCTTTTCGTTTAAGAACAAATACTCTATTTATACTAGGAGCTGAAAGTGAAGGTTTCTTGCCTTCCTGGTCCTCAACTTAACAAAAATGGTTCATGAATTGAAATGTTTATTGAGCCCTGACCACATGTCAGGCACTGTGCTGGGTGCTGAGCATACACACATCAGTGGACAATGAAGGGGACCCGGTGCCTGCCCTCTGGGAGTTGGGACTTCATCAGAGGAGCGAAGCATTGACTCTGTCATGAAGAATATAATGGTGCCGAGGAGGAGAGGGGCAGGTTGCCATGGCCCAGCCTGCATCAGGAAGCTAACCCAGTGGTGGGGTTGCCTACTGCATTAGTCGTCCACAGCTGCATAACAAATCACCCAGAAACTTAGCAGCTTAGAAAAGCACACTAACTATCTCACAGTTTCTGTGCGTCAGAACCTGGCACAGCTGTACTGGGTCCTCTGCTTCAGGGTCTCTTCCAAGGCTGCAGTCAAGGTGTCACCAGGGCGGGGCCTCATCTGAAAGCTTGACTGGGGAAGGATCTGTGTCCAAGCTCAGGTGGTCATTGGCAGAATTCAGTTCCTCAAGGGCTGTTGGAAGGAGGGCCTCTGTTTGCTGCGGGCCATTGGCTAGAGGCCGTCCTCAGTACCTGACCGCTGGGCCTCACCAACATGGCTGCTTGTTTCATCAAAACCAGCAAAGGAGAGAGTCTGCTACTGAGTCGGAAGTCTCGATCTTTTGTAATCTGATCATGAAAGTGACAGCCCGTCACCTTTGCCATATTTTATCGGTTAGAAGCAAGTCACAAGGCTAGGCCACACTCAAGGGGAGGAGATTAGAAGGCGTGAATACCAAGGAGCGGGGATCATGGGGACCATCTTAGAAGTTACCTACCATACCTGCTCTCTGTTCCAGTTGCTAGTGCTCTGGGAAACCGGGGCCTTATAGTCAGAAGAGGAGTAACTGCCTGTGTGGTACCGTGTCTGCTGGCAGAGCCTCCACACGCACAGTGGAGTGTGTTTCTGTGCGTATTTTCTGTGTGGGTTACTGACAGCAGCAGCTGTTTCATCACTTTTTAAACATTTATAAAAATATGTAACAATAGGAATTTCTTCTTTTTTGAAACCCGTGACTCATGGCCTATCTGAAGTGGCTGGCTCGTTCCCCATCCCAGCAGAAAGAATGATAAATATTGGGTGTTTAGGTCACTGTTGAAGAAACAAACACTCAGAGCACAACTGGATCCTGGGCCATTAGCCCACTTTAGTCATTCCGTGACCTTGCACTTCTGCAAGTGGGAGAGTCCCTGGGTTGCTTGCTGCCAATGGGATTCCACTGAAGCATTCTTTTCCTTCTGCAAATTGGCTTGGAGAGGAGCAGGGAGAAACTTTTGTTTCTAGTTTTAGATTCATATTTAGCCTTTATTTCTGTAATTGATCAAAAGTAGAGATTTGAAAATGCTGGAGTTGTAAGCAAAACCAAATCCATCACTAGAAAGATGTGAAGATGTCCATTTATTTTTCTGGAGAAGAGAGGAACAGCGGAAAGTGGATGGGAGGGTTCTTGCGGCCAAAAGGGCCAGCCAAGAATTCTTGTTGCCAGTTTCTCTACGTAAGAGATAATGACAATTTAAAACTCAAGTGAAGCATTCCTAGGCTGAATTGCCCCAGTTAATTAAAAAGAATCCACCAATTGCAAGCAGAATTTTTCTTCATTTAATTAGATTTTTAAGTGGAAAAGACTGTTCTTTTCAATGTGTCTCACATTAGCCTCCTGCCTCCTCATTTGTGAGATGGTTGATGGAGTTTGGCTCTTAATTCAGAGGCAGTTATGTCCCCCATGAATGTGAAAAATGGCTGGAAGGTGCTGACCCCTCCATCAGGGGCCATTTGGAGAGGGGTCATGCACCATCTGTTAAGGATTTTATCCTCTCTGAATTTTGGTTTTAATTCTGCACGTAGACTTAATGCAATGTGCAGAAACTACCACCACAGGAGTGATTGGTTTTCACGTTTATGATGATGAGTCAAAAGGGAAGGAGAACTCAGCTCAGTTAAGAGTGAGAATTTGATTTTGACCCAAACACCTTGAGCCTGGGAACCTGAGGAATTTTCT